ATCGATACAAAAAAGGTGATTATGTTTGTTTCCCTAGGGCTTTTATACAACCGACAGCCGGTTATCCATTACGTCCCCATAGGTCACGTATTCAACCACACACTAGACACTAGACATTTTAATTTCGTTAACCGTGCAAATGTATCTCAAATTTGAAAAACCTAGTTGTTATTTCATTTATATAAATCATATGCAACTATACTCGGACATACACACAACTTTGACACATTTCTCCAAATTGAAATTTTAATATTTAATAACTTACGTCAGTTTTGGAATTAAAAATTCACTATTATGACGCTATTTTTCAGCTCTTATGCAGAGAAAGAATTACTTCCGTTTACTGTTCAATTATTGGAAGGTTGCACTTTGCGTGCGGCAAGTTAGGACTTTGAACAACGCATACCACAAACTACATAACACTCGACATTGCAAAACAAAAATCTTTGGGAGTGACATGAATAAAAATGGCTGCCATCTCACGTATTGAGAAAGATTCCGAAATTCATGATTCCATGATTTCGTGCTAAAACATGATGTTCGTAACTCCAACGAAAGTATCTTTGAGAAACAACATTTCAGAATGCAGTCATTTCTTTCGTACACCAAAGACCCACATTTATTCCGATGGTAAATGTGTCCCCATGCAATAGCGAACACGCCGAGGGGGAGATAAAGGTAGGGCTGCACCTATTCGTTGCCGTCGGCACAAGGAGGACGTCGTGAGAGAACATAATACTAAGGCCACGTTTACCCTCAAAGAAGATCCTGTTACTTATCTGGAGAGAAGGTTGAGTCGATCCCGCAGCCACTCTTCGATATGATCCTGAGTTCTTCATTTCTAGTTACATTCATTCATTTTTAGACAAATCAATATTGTAGTAAGTGTAGTAAGTAATTGAACACATTTGCGGCCTGGCTGAGTGAGCATTGCCGCAGTCTCTCCTGACAAGCAGGTCCGAAGTTCAAGTCCACATGATGGAGGATTTTTGAATCTAGTTATATAGGTCGAATTCCGCCGTTATCTGGAGGAAAATTCAAGCTGCCGGCTACTCTCATCAATATGTATTCCGTTGTTTCTCCGAACAGAACCAGGCGAATGTCGGGGCTGCACTCTAACAAAAAGCCCATGGGCCGTGAGCGGTCTTTCCTTCCACCTCCTTGTCACATCCTCACCCTTCACTTATACACACTTATACTTACATGCACTACACTACCACACATGTTGGGAGAGCAGTCGGGAGCCGAGAGCTTGTCCCGGCTGGAGCGGTGCCCCGTCGAGGGAGGTACCAAGAGAGGGAACCGCAAACCGACATGACACCATCCAAGGAGGAGGATCACCGCCACCTCCCACATTAAAACATTCACGCGACTACACTAACGCGACTAATGACCATAACAACTGTCGGGCGCGTAAACATCAATTCAGAAAAATCAGCGAGCTGTACGAATCGTACGGGCGCGTTTAGTTCCTTTTCAGACCACTGTGCGAGGCCCGCGGCCGACCCCAGCTCCGGAGCCTCGTCCCTCCAGGGAGGCTTTTTTAGCTGCCCGCGCGCCCCGCCGCTCCGCCCCGCCCCCGCTTCTAGGAGCCCCGAGACCCTGCGCTACATTTTTGTTAAGGAGAGAGGAAGGGGAGCCGCCACCACATGTCAGAAGAACGGCAACGGGAGAGAAAGCAAGCGTCTTTTGGTGAATGTTGCGCATTGTGCAGTTCCAACCGTGAAGGTTGCAGGTAAAGAGATTATCTTTACGGCTCCTAATATGATGCAATGTTTAAGCATCTTCGTTTTTTTCATGCGGTCTTTACAGAGACCGGATGTGAAGATTCGAATGCCTAATATATTATTCAGTAATACAATCAGAAACAGTTATATTCTGCTTCCCGCAACATACACAAACCTGTGTAGGATATCAGAGTATAGCTTTTCAAGATTACGCAGCACTGCATAACTGGATGTTGCCCATTTCGTATAAATAAAATAACATACAAACGTACAAGTACTCCCAGTATATCTCAGTGTCGAAGAAATCTAGAAGGTTACCAAAAAGTAAATCACTAAGTTCAAGACATTTTCCAAATTTGTACGTACCATTATTTTCCTTTGAATCCAATTCATTGACGAGCAAATGTAACAATAGATATGAACTATAAATTAAAAAATATATATTTTATGTAATATATCGAACAAATTTACAATTTTCGATTCAAGAAAGAGAAATCTCCAACAAAAGCTCATTGTCATTTTTCTGCATTTACCGCAACCATTCCCAAAATAGCAACCGGCTTAGGCCGCTCGGAGCCTCTGACCAGGAGGTGTTAGGGTTCGTATTCTGTCGGTGGCTGGATTTTCGACTCTAGCTTGTCAGCTAGGTTTCATTCAGCCGCTACCTGGATTAGAATTCTTGCGCCAAGCAGCTCTGATCATTCGATATCTTTGGTTCCTCCGATCAACACCAGGCGAATGCCAGATCAGTACCCTAACCAACAGGCCACGGACTGCGCGCGATCTTTCCTTCCTCTTCCTTGAACTATCCTCACCCTTACTTACACTCACACACACTATCATTCACTACACTATCACAATTTCGGGATCTTCGAGTTCGTCCCGGGTGGGGCGGTGCCCCATTAGCACAGCTGCTCAAGCCGACGTGTAGGTCCATCCAGAGGGGTTAAATCACCGATGCAAAACATGCACTACACTTACAAGACTAAATATCTTGGCTGTTGACGCTCCCGGAAATACTAATCAATCAAACAAACGAAAGCACCAGAACATATTCAAGTAGTTGCTCTATACCGCATGGAGAGAGAGGTTGCGTACTTTCAAATGAAAAAAATAATATTCGTAGTGCGGAAAGTATCCGAACGATTTCGCAAGTGACTAATATTGTACGAAATAATATTAAAATTCCCACGAGATCCATCAAACGTTTCAATTTTTCCCGGAGCAGGTTTATTACGAAGTTCCGGTGCAATCATTTCCAAATATGTCATTCATGTAGCAGTGCAACACGACGCCACGTGTTAAAATGGTTAGTATCAGGTAGGGAAAGAGGAATGCTCAGAACATGTTTGAAGATCCAGCATACACGCACGTACTGCATTCCAAAGGTCGCCCGCAAGCTTCAGGAATCACTAGACTGTGTTTCTCCTCACGCCCAGGAGAACAGTGCAAACCTCACGGCACTGCGACGCGGCAACCTAGAGGCGTACCTTGGGAGGACAGTTGGCACTTTCATACTTTGAGCTTTATTGAAAAATGTATAAAATGTTTAAATAATAATAAGAGTGGAAAGTTCAATCCATGTTTTAGTATTTGCACTATATTCATATAATGATTATTATTCAAAAGCAGCACTATATAATAAAATGGACGGGAGAAGTTCCCGTTTATTTCAGAGAAAATTGAAAGCTTTTCTCGGTGGTGTCAAATTTAAAAATCAATGCACGTTTAAAAATATTCCCATTTACGCTTTTACACACAAAAAACGTGCTAATAAAAGGATATGGAATTGAAATTGAAAAGGTGATTCAAAGTAATTTTGCATATTCTAATTTCAGTTATTTATATATCAACTGTATACTTGTTTCTGTAACAGAATTTCAAGAGATCAACATTTTATGAAATATTAGTGTGTACTTAGTTCACCAAGAAATCATGAGATTAGTGAATCTTATTGTAAAAACTAAAAACTCATTTAAATATCAGAAAAACTCGACACAGGCAATAAATATTGTAATATTTTAACTATTATACGTACTTAACTTCGTTTAATTCACCTCTTATACCTGTTAACTATTAATGATTGAAAAAAATTCATAAGATTAAGATCGAGTAAAATCAAGACTTACTGAATGCGTAGAGTTTTTCTTTAATAATCTTTGAATCTGTAACTGGTATTTCAAATCTTCTGATATCACACATACACAAATCCTCCGTAATTCTAAGCTGTAATACGGTTTTCTCTCTTGAAGTAAATTGTAACTAACAGATCCATGTTTCATTTCTATTCGCGTTAGCCCTCTGCTGATTCAGCGAATTCTGACAGAAGTCGTCGTAAATCTCGACGATTAAACGGGTAGGCGCATTTCACTGTTGTGGTCGCCCATTCGCACTAACGAAACAAGTAATTGTACTTCGTTAAATTAATATTCATGATACTTGACTGCAGCTCGCGCCTCGCTGCGTGAATGTTCAGCCTTTCACGCGGTAAGTGAAGCCAGTCGACATTTTGCCAAAGCCCTCCAAACGGTTGACAACTGAAACTTCAGGAGTAGCGGCAAATGCAGAAGAACCTCCGGCTCAAAAAGTATGTACAAGTTATTTTGTAAGTTGAGACAAATCGTTGATTAGTTTCATGACGGTTGAACTTGGCATAGTTCAACCAGTAAGACTATGTGGTTAACGTTCACAACTATGTGGTTGACTCCACAAATCACAATTAGAATTTCCCTCCCTTTCTCTCCCCGGCTTACCGTAATACAAGTGTTTTGCGAAATTGCTGATTAACTTATCAGGTTTACCTGTACGATTAGCCAGTAATGAACAAACGACCATGTATTGGTGAAACGCAAGACTACTTTGGTAAATTTACATCATTAGTTGAGTCTGCAGAACACTATATTGATCACGTTATGGGGAAAATGTGTACCATTGTTAAGGCAGATATAAATTGTCAAAGCAGAGAATAAATTTATGAAATTGAATAATAAAATTTCTTTCAGATCAGTCATTTAAGTTTCAGTAATTTAAAGTTAGAGGTTAGTAATCCAACCTAAAAACATCCTTGTTGAAAACATCGATGGTTTTTAGTCTATTTATTTTGAACATCGATGTTTTGTTATTGATATCGCATCACTAGTAGATACGGGACAATGGCGTAAGAAGTTGCGTCATTTGTGAAATAGAAGCCAGTGGCCCAGCGCCGCGTAATGCGGCGTGGACCCCGGCGTCGGCCCAGCGGCCGTGCGCCCAGGAGTGCCATTCCACTACACTTCAGCGGGGGGCGGCGGGGGCGCGGCGCGGGGCCGGCCGGCGCGCGGGGTCGGCGCGGCGCGCGCGCGGGGGCGCGGCGGGGCGGCGCGGGGGCGCGCGCGGGGGTCGGCGCGGGGGCGTCGCCGGGGGCCCTGGCGCCGGGCCGGCGGCCGCGCGCGCGGCCGCCGGCGTCAGGGGCAGCGCCGAGCGCAGGCAGAGGCCTGTAGTGGGAAAGAGGATCGTGTTCTAGGCGAAGGGCGGGACCGCGGGCGGGGTGGCGGAAAGCCCCGGCGGCCAGCCGTCTGCCGGCAGCTGCGGAGCATCGAGCCAGCGAGACACGACGGCGTCCGTCCCCGCACGCGCTCACTGCAGCTCCCCCGCTGCACACGACGCCCCACGGGATTCAGGAACGGAAGTCCAAAGTCATTTGGCCAGGGCTTAGATGTTTTCGTTTTTCAACAGATAACGACTATCCACGATCGAAATTAGTTTGACGCAAACTTCCTGGCAGTCTTTAACACTTGTAATTAATACTCTATTACATGTTATATATAGAATCATGATTTTTTGACGCAGAAGGAATGTCGAACCTTATTTCGCTAACCCTACTTTTGATATTTGTTGCGTGACATTATATATTTAAAAATAAGTTATATTAATGTTTTAAGAATGGGTGGTCAAAACGTATAATACAGCAGATGTATTAAAACTAACTCTAAGTAGGTCATACTCTATCTGAGAAGAAATCTCATAATCAAGAAACTTTTCTATAGTTGTCAAATAAATACTGTCGCTGTTGCTGTGGAAAAGGATGAAAAAGCATTAAAGGAAAAATAAGTCCAGAGACTTCGAAATCCCATCCAGCTGCTTTCTTTGCAATGTTTATTCTTGATACGGATGATTGTATCACCAGATGGCTAACAAGAATTTTAATGAGAGGAAAGAGATTGAAAGCGAAAGTAAGATTTCTTACAGTCAAAACACTGACGCGGTAAGAACAACTTTGTATCTCTTGGAATAGAAAGAAATAAAGTGCGATTTAGAAGATAGCACCAAGATGTTAAACTAAAGCATATAATAACATCACTTTAATAATATATTATAGAAAAAAATAATGTAATACGAATTTACCCAACTTCTGTAGCTTTGCTGACGTTGAAAAAGCTAAATAACGTTACTTAAATTGACGTTTGTTAAAGACTTTTTACTTCACCCTAATCATGATGTATTTTAAAATTAATAGATCTGTTAGATGAAAGAAGACAACATTTCACGGTTAATAATAAAATCAAGTACTCAACGTGACATTTGTGCACAAGAAAATTCCCTGGGATTACTAACACTCGGCGCGTTGCTGAATGATTTTTTAAAATCTTCATTTCGGGGGCCGCTGACGTGCCAGACAGACGGCAGTCGTGCCTCCACCGCTGCTGTCTCCGCAGCCGCCGAAGCAGTGTTGCCAGGTTAGTGATTTTACCCCTAAATTTGGGGATTTTCTTCGCCATAAGTTACAATTTTTTACAAGATTTTAGTGTAATTGTTAGCAATTTTGACTTAGTTAGCCATCTTTACTTTTTTATAAAATGCATTAAAAATTATGTGCAATGTTTAATGCAGGGAGAGGAGCGTGTTTTCTTAAACTATGGAATCACCGTCGCCTGTCTTATTACTGTAATTGAATTGTGAACAATTCTTTCGACAAAATATTTTGTATTTTTCATATCAATGGAAAACGATCAACGAACAATCAATTGCAACTGCACACATCTTATTACATTTTCTCACTGTTCTATAATGTAGGGACAAATGTATTAGAATCACCTCAATAATACGAACTCGAATTTTCGCTCCTAAAATCAGACTTTAATGTTTTTTTTAGTTGCAACTGCGCATACACACTAAGCCAATTAGCGCTGTCCCAAAACTGGTTAAGATTGGTACAGGAGACACACGTCATTTTCGTACACGCAAATGGGGATGCGTTTACAGATAGTATAGATGTCAGGCATAGCTTTCAGAATAGACGTTATTGAGACGAAACTCGGTAAATACAAATATATTTATTTTCAAATCTGGTCTACAACTCCAATTTTAAAACCTAACTATTTCGCTCAGTATGCAATTTATCTATCAGTTTTAGGACTTTAAATAAAGTCATAGACTTTTTTATATATATAAAAAAGATGAGTAGTTGTTGAGAAATAACTTGTGACACAAAGAGAAGGAAAAGTTTCGGTATGCCGCGAATTATGACCTTAATAATAAAGTATTTGAATGAAGTGATTTTATCGTTTTGATGGCTTTTACAGCGCAATCTGGAAGAAAACCGTTGAGTCCACCTGGCCACGAGAGCCTGGCGTTGCGTGCGCAAGTCGCTGCTCCGCTCGGCTGGGCTGCCGGAGGAGAGCCAGGAGCCGAATGCGGCGGCACGGCGCGGCGGGCGGCGAGCTGCCGACGGCCCCAGCCAAGAAGGAACGGGATGAGGAGTTCCCGAGCTATGAGGCCCGATGGCGTCATTCCCGATTGGCAGCCGTCGCAACAGAGGGTAAAGCTTAGAGATCTGGACTCTGGTTATTCTCTGTGGTTCAATTCACGGTCGATCCGTGAGGAATTTCTGGTGGGCAAAGATGTTCAAGGCAGCTTTCCTAGTTTACCTTGCTTCTGTTAATTTATCATTGATTGCTGTGTCACCATTCATGACATATCTTTATTTCCAAATACACATCAAATTATTCATTAATTTCAGGACTGGCCATGTTGCGTAGGCACTGGCATAAATAATATTCAATCCCTTATCCATCCATATATGGCAATAAAAAAGTACCCAGATGTAGCAATAAAAAAAGACATACGGCACATGTACTGAAATTCTAATAAATAATCATAACAGCCTGAGGAATACACCCAGACCTACCACATATTGCCCAGAGAAACGGAATATTTAGGTCTACAAGGGAATCTTAATGAGAACTTATCGTTAGCGATTATTCTGAATCAGCCATTGTAATGTAGAATATTTAATAACATCATGCTATATCTAAATATATTTTAATCACATCTCATGATAAGTAACTGCAAGTCTAAGAGGGGGATATGCTTTGTTGGATCCCTCTCCCCATGACCATCAAATCTCAGCCACTACAATTACTCGTTTACTACTACAGTGACTCCAAAAGAAATTAAGATGATCCATTCTGGCATCTTTCGAGATTCAATTCGCTTACCAGAGGGATAGAGATTAATAACCATCTCTCCAGACATGCGAATTCCGCAATCATTTCCTACTGCAGACGTAGTTTAAATATCAGTCAACCGAATAAAATGAAGATGAGAAATTATCTGGGGCATAAACAATAGGATTTGATTTTAACGTATAATTGCAGTAAAGACTAGTAAATAGGATCGGTAATAAGTGTCGAAAAACAGGATTTATTTTCCCATCAGAGGCAAAAACTAGAATGAAATGCGTTTCGCTCTTTTAAAAATCGATTCATATTTAGAACGTATAAATTTTGACAAATTTCTAGAAACGGGTGTACGGGATAACAATTTTGCGAACCATTCTTCTTCATTTTTCCCAACTTCAAGATCAGCCTCAGAGGGAGTGCTAAAACGCACACCAGAATAAACAATTCGGAAATGTGTGTGATGGGTATCTGCTCCATTTTCACATGCATAATATTTGCGCAACATCCAAACTGAGTGGAATATAAGATTCGATTTAACAGAGATATTTTTCATGTTAAAACTTCGTGCTATCGGTCATCGATTGTTCTGAAGGCTCGACCCTTCTTGACTGATCGAGAACGAAATTCTGAAGAACAGTAAGCGAAAACATAATCGATCGTGCGAGTGCAATGGAGGGCGCGTGCCGGGTCGTCGGAATCCCCAGAGCACCCTGGCCTCCGCGCCCTGCCGGAAGCACCCACCACCGATGGTACGAGGACGGCCGCCGCCACCGCCGCCGTCGCAGCTGGTCGGGACAGCTGCGGTCGCCCTGGCGGCGGCGGAGGCGGCAGGTGGCCCGCGACCCCGCACACAAAGGCACGGGCGATTCGCGGGGCGGCCACAAAACAGCTATAGAAGGGCAACGCTCACACACATACACGCACACACACATACACAGTGATGAAGCGTGAGGAGAGACGAAACGGACACTGTGACTACCCATTGAAGAAAAAAGACAAGGAAGAGTATGAATAGAACAAGGCGCGGGGGAGATTCTTCGATTTTAAGTCCGTTTCGGAAGATAAAAAAAAGAATCTATGCTTTGTTTGTGCTCTACCAACCCGGTTTGGAGAAATCTAATTGCTGAGCCTAAGATAGACAGGTCCAGATGTTTCTTTCCGAGCTTAATTTTCTGTAAGGAAATTCTCCGTGCGCATCCCTGTAGAAACCTAAGGAATGAGTGTTGTTTTGGACGTTGAGTCCTCACTCCAATCTTCAAAGTAGATTCCGTAAGTGCTTCTCTAGGATGTGTTACATCAACATGCTCGTGTGTACGTTATACTTAATCATTTTTTTAAATAAACATTACGATAAATTCAATACATTTTTTTTCCATTCCATTCTCAAACATTAGACAACAATTTCAGGTTTACAACTTGCAAAAATTCTTACTTTGAGCTACTATCTACTCATTTCTATTTTGTCACGCTACGCTACTGCAGCGGTAGTGCAGCCTGCCGGCGCGTCTCGCTCACCTGGTTCTCCGAGTTGAGCAGCTTGAGCTGGTCGTTGATGAGGCTGTACTTGGCGGACTCCTCCTTCCTGAGCGCGCGCTCCTTCTTGAGCTCGGGGCTCCAGAAGGTCTTGATGCTGTGCATGCTCGAGCCGAGCTTCTGGTTGGTGAGCTCGAGCTCCTTCTTGAAGTTGGCGAGCTCGCGCTGCAGGCAGGGGAGAGAGATACGAGCTGCAGGCAGCAGAACTCCTGA